CCTACCTGGGGAAACAACCTTTCTCGGAGAGGTGACCTTGGTTAAAACACATAGCTCCAAGAAGGGGAGCAAACATATTAAGAACAGTATGCCATATACGCCAGGTCCCTGGAAACATATGCTGTGCAGATGTTTCTTCCCTGCAGCGACTGTGTCAAGCAGCAAGGATGGACCGGCTTCCGGCATGAATTTATTGGGGTGACATTGTTTATGAAATTATAGTTTTCTGGTGTACAGTTGTATAATACATCACTGGTATACTATATTGTGTATTTGATAAGAAGCTATGAAAATTCCAGGACAAGTGGAATAGGGAATCTTAGACCTAAGTTGGGGAGCCACCTAATAAGTCCCATGTTCCCTAAAGCAAGGACACTTAAGGGTAAATCATTTACACTTCTCTTCCCTAACCAGAGGGTAAATACCTTAAATCACCCTAGTCAGGGAGGCAGATAATAGAAATCCAGTTAAGAGAATAAATCTCATTTTGGTGCATCAGCATAAAGCTAGTGAATATTCTTTTTCTACCCATAAGCTCTCCACAAAACACCCACCCTTTCAAAACTCTAAAGCTCCAGAGACCATGCCCATGCCATTCTCTTCCCCCTCTATTCACTGCACTCCTAGGGACATAGCCCCTAATCTCAGGAGACTTGCAACTAGGGGAGCAATGGGCAGCAGCACCTCATCCTGAGCCAAACCCCTAGACCTGTCTCTGAGGTTCCTCATTTCCCCCATTTCTCTGACTTCCAGAAAGACAAACAGCCCAGGCTAGGCTCTCCTGCTGGTTCTTTATGCCCTTCCTTGTGTCACTGCCCTAAGTAGGTTTTATGGTGAGGTCAATAAAAAATTTTTTAAGATCTTTAAAAAAAAATCAGGAAATAAACATTATTATTTTTTAATATATATATTTTATTTGATTTCAGAGAGGAAGGGAGAGGGGGAGAGAAAAACAGGATCATCAATGATGAGAGAGAATCATTGAGTGGCTGCCTCCTGCATGCCCCACATTGAGGATAGAGCCCGAAACCCAGGCAGGTGCTCAGATCCCGAATGAAACCCATGACCTCCTAGTTCCTAGGTTGATGCTCAACCCAGAGCCATGATGGATGGGCAGGAAATAAACATGATAATAAATAAAACTACACAGGTACTATAGTTTATTGAACCTTCCTTTATTGTTAGACATGTGGGGCAAGAGATATGTGTGATCATACAGCAGTTTCCAAATTCATAGTCCTGTCCTCAAAATGCTGGCTGCCAGATTGGGTGGATGCTCAACCCAGAGCCATGGCGGTTGGGCAGGAAACATAGAGGACCTCTCATCTTACCAGGCATGGAAAGGAGACGCAGTCCCACAAACCCCGAGTCCTGGCAGACAAGTGCCGGGACCCATATGGAATCAGAGTTGTGCTCCACCCTGGGGTGGGGGGGCAGGGAGGGGAAAGGGACAAGAGCAGGGAGAGTGAGATGTGTGTGACCCCTCCCACAAGGTCACAGCACCTGATCCCTGTCTTGCTCCTGACTTGGGCTGTGCCCTCTTGACCTGTCAGAGCCTTGGCTTCCTCCACTTGGCCCAGAGACAGGCATGGTTGTCGGGTGACTCTGGGGCACTCAGTGGCCTGGCACAGGGAGAACTGAGCAGAGGATGGGGCTCACCCTCTGAACTCAGAGCTCCCTCCTGTTGATTCGGTCCCGAGGGAGCTCTGGGATTCTAGAAGCCAGTCCAGAGAATATCGGATTAAGTAGGGTGGGATCAATGTGTGCATCTGGGTTCTGAAAACCAATCTAGAGAAGATGAGATCAAGTAGGACTCATTGGCTTAAAGATTCATTGGCTGAGCGAGTTAATCTGTTTGGAGGCGGGGCTTTCCGCCTATATAAGGGCTGAGGGCACCCAGCCTAAGCCATTAGACACCAGAGCCCTGGAGAGAAGAACCATGTCGGCACCCGGGAGAAGTGAAGCAGCGCGAGCTCCAACCCTCCTGAGGGCCTCGGCACCGTGCTGGTTTCCTCCCGGCCATCTGCAAGCTC